TACCATAATAATTCTGGAAAGGAAAGGATTGTACACAGATTTGCTCATCATCATTGGGAATGTGGCTTTAGAGAAGCTAATGCAACTATTAGTCAAGACAGGAGAAGATTGTGGGAAGAAGATCCTGTTCACCTCTATATTGGTGTTCACCTCTATATTCAAGAAGCTCTAGTCCTATGATGCCCATATTCATTTTTCTTTATAGGCTCTGGAATAAAATGAAAATAAGGAGCAAAACCCCATTCTGCCACAATACAAAGTAAAGGAAAAGTAAAGTACCATCAGTTGGTACTTGGATGGGGGGAAATTTGCAAATCCCAAGGATATAGGCTAGACTTTTTTTCTAGGAAGAAAAGGAAAAAGTCCCTAGAGATGACAAAGGCAAGCCACTTCTATACTGATGCAAATAAAACTACATGGGTACATCTATAAATTCACCAGGAATTGAGTCTAACTCAAAGTAGAGTTTATCTTCAGCCCTGTTCCATGTTGTTCCATAGCCTCTTTGAAGAAGTCACTAAAGAGCTTGTCCAGACAATTGTTTCCTTGCGCAAAGTTTATACAGCTGTTATTTGGCTGTTTCCTTGAATTCAGCTTGTACTAATTAGTACTAATTTTGCCATAGACTATAAAATCTTAGATTTATTTTTCCCTCATTATCCAAAAAGACTCCCTTCCCTAATTGGAAAATGTGGCTGATACTGGCAGCTTACCTCACAGGGAAAATTATATTAGTTACTACATTCATAACAGTGGTGAATCATTCAACTTGACAAGGTCAAAATACACTGGCAATCAGGAGAGGATTTTTGTTTTGATTTGCTTCTCACTGTCACCATATTAGGCTGCTGTGTTTTGGTTGTGAAAACTTCACTATACAGTGTTTGAAACCAACAAGAACTTTTATCTGAAAGACAGACTGAGAAGGTTGAAGTTGGTTGACCACCCACTCAGCCTCCTTTGGAAGTCTCTAGCCTTCTAGGTGGTCTCCAAAATTTCCCATTTACAGAGGACATTTTATTTTTTCATAAGCAAAACCAAAACCATATAAGCACTGTACCACAAATTCCTCTTCTCTGTTTTTAGTTGTCCAGTGCAAACAATGCAAAATGTTAGCTGCTGATGCAGCAGAGAAAACTTGTCCTATATTGCTACCATGAACAGAAGGATAAAGTAATACAGTGCAACTGCTGTTTTTCCTTTTCTAAATTCAGCTCATGCATTCCGTGGGCCACTTACTAAGCCAGTTGCAAGATCATGAGAACATCAGTGAGAAAGTTAAGAACAATGTTTGTTAAATCAAACTCTGAAATATCAGCTACATTCCTGCACTGCTTATGGATTACAAAAGCATCAGGGAAGGGAGGTAGAAAATCACTCTTTGCATACTTTACTCACCCACTACAGTGGCCTCTTCCTGAACTCCCTGACTAGATACATTCCTTCATGCAGCTTTCATTTTTATACCCAGGGCATATGGGTGGGGAGGGGGGGGGGGAGGTGGTAGAAAGAATTAGGAAAGAGTAGACTTCTCTTTTAAATCTGTATTTCACAAATCGGTACTTCTACTGTCTATACCTCTAAGAATTGCTGACTCTCCAATCCAATGATTTATATTTTTATGTGAATCCCTGATATCTGCATTTCCTCTAAGGCTGCTCAGTGAGTGGTGCAGAGTCAGTGGGCTTTAATTTTCCACAGTGTCCTGGAATAATGCTACAGCCCTTGCTCTGAGGTTCTGTTGGAAATTGAAAGAGAGATCTAAACAGTAGGATCCAGGAAGGTATTATCTGCAGGAAACCATCCTAGATCTGAGTTGGAAGAACTACAAAGGGAATCTTCTTTAAGAGTGGCTGATGGAGCTGAGTGGCTGAAGGGAGGATACTGCATCATCATGACCAGTGCAGAATTATGGCAGATAATTAATTAGCCAGGATGTCTTTGGAAGAATGAGCCAGTGACTTCAGAAAAATTGTAGGAGAATCTCTCCTTTAGTGGGTAGAGGATACTGAGCTCATAAGGGACTTTAAACATTTGACTATTATTAATGACATCAGTGACACATTAAGAGTTCTCTTACAGAACTATTACTTCTTCTCTGTACTCCAGCATATACTGTACATTTGAGAATTTTGCTCTGAAGTACTTTCTTTCATTTTGTGAAAAAAAAAAAAGACCTGCTGTTTAACAGTTGTTTCAGGAAGATGCTGATATTCCTCTCCTACTTTTAAAACAATAGAACTAAGCTGAAACATGTACAATTAATAGAGAGAAACAGTATCCAAAAGAGATGTGGGGAAATGGAACAAAATTTGGGGGCATAACATCAATGAAAAATTGCACCATAATTTAATGAAGACATATTTCTTCATGGAAGTCTGGGTAAATAAACAATCTTATCTCCAACCTAATACAGAATGGCTGCTACAGAAAGAAAAAGAAAGAAAGAAAGAAAGAAAGAAAGAAAGAAAGAAAGAAAGAAAGAAAGAAAGAAAGAAAGAAAAAGACAGACAGACAGACAGACAGACTAAAAAGAGGTCAAAGGAGAATACCAATTTGTGTAACATCTGATTTTACAGATTGACATATGTAACTTCATACTTATAAATAGTTACGATAATTTAAATATGGAACATGTTACCATTGAAGAAAATATTGTACCCCAGTGATCTGGCTCTCAGCTCACCCAACTCTCCAGCTACTAATTTGTTCTGGTTGACTTTACAACAACCAGGCCCTTATCTTTAAACCAAGCATCAGCCTTTGGAAACAGCCTGTGATGCTCTGGAAGTAAGGAACACTGCCAGGACAAAAGGATGCTTTACTAAGGACACACTGGGTAATCAACTGGCACTTTACATGAATTCAAAATAAGATAAAAACAATAAAATATATCTTAAAAAAGCAATGGTTAAAACAATATATAGTTAAAAACAGCAACAGATATGTAATAGCTTATTGAATTTATTTATAATATAATACCTAACTAAATGTGCCATCAGTGCCCTCGTAAAAGGAATAAGGGGTCCGGGTGAATTTTTCTTGAGAGATTTTTCCAAACCCTTGATGATGTAACATTCATCATTATCAACCCCACCTAAGTCTAATATGGATTTTTGTTTCTTATTAAATCCAATGTCTGATTAAATTTTGTGAATTAAATTATGCAAATTAAATATATACTGTAGACTTGGAACAAGACATAGAAATCTTCTTTTTCTCACCTTTAGCAAATCTTACCCTTACACTTGCAAAGTACCTTCCAGGGACTAGAATATTTAGAAGAAAGTTAGGGGATTGGGAGTTTCAAGATCTTTTGAACTTTGCATTTGCAGGAGAAAATGGGATTACTACATATCCTGGCAGAGAGAAAAAATGCACTTCTTGCCATATACCCTCTTCAGTTTCCTTCCAGATTCAATTTGCTAGAAGATGATAGATAGATAGATAGATACATAGATAGATAGATAGATAGATAGATAGATAGATAGATAG